GGATCCTTCCCTGGACTGAAAATGCAGCTTTTCTATGTGGGAATGGGTGCTCCATGAGTGAACTGTGGCTCAGACCCACACTGCACTCTCCTTCAGTTCTGCCCATGTGGGCTTCATCACCCTGTAAGATTAGCTCACAGATCTCCCTCCATGTCCCTGAGCAACACAATCAAGTCCTGGGGTTACGGGATCTGGCCTGTGTGAGATGCGTGCTGGTCTTGAGTTGTCTGTGGAGTGCTCAAACAGGCTTAAAGTCCCTCTGCTTTAGGGTGTGCCCTGCTCTGATGGAGCAGCCAGGTGAGCAGCACCGGGGAGGGCTGGCAGGCAGGGAGCTCACAGTCTGAGCACTCCTTGGTTCACTGCAGGTCTTTAAGGGGAAAGGTGTGAGTCCTCCTCTCTGTGGAAGCCTCAGTGCAGTGGAAGCAACAACAGAGGGGAAGCAGCTGCTCCTGAGAGTCCCAGCTCGATTGTTCTTTGGAGGACCTATGCCACTAGTATCAGTGGGTGGGGGAGGAAAGGGTGAGGAGAAGAGTCTTAATGGAGCTGGCACTCTGGTCCCCTTCATCCCTCTCTCCAGATGGTAGCCCACCTGGGTTGTCCAAGCCTTGGGATCACACAGTTCCCCCAGGACCCACTGGCCCCTGTGGCCACTGTCCTCTGGGCCAGAGTTGGGAAATCTTTGTGTGGGGAGCAAGCGACGTAAAAACTGAAGGGCTGAAGCTCCCTAGGGAGGGCAAAGCCCCACAATGGGTGGAGAAGCAGTATGGCACCTGCCATCTCAGTTTGGGTCTGTAGTGATAGTAAGTGACCCTGGTGGGGCTGGCACCCCAGTGCTTTGTTTTCAATAAGCTCCCAGTTCACTGGCAGCAGCAGCTTTTGGGCTCTTGAGGGTAGAGAAGCTCTCCAGCAGCTCAGGAGCCTGCTGACTTCCCAAAGTGTGAGGGAAGGACTAACAAACCCCTCACCTACCTTCTCCATGGACTCCAAGTTTCTTGGGGGATGATCTCTGCCAATATCTTGCTCCTTGTTCTGCTATGCAGCTTCTTCCTGTAGAATCTCTGGTGGGTTCTGGAACTTTTCCCTCAGAATTATACCTCAGATTTTTTTTTTCATCTATAACTTTTCCTTCTTGCTGAGATGATCTGGAGACCAACGTCTCTAGTCAGCCATCTTGGTGTTATCTCAAGTGCTTTTCTATTCAGGCAAGGGAACAGGGGCTCCTCGTTCAAAGCCTGGATATGACATAGGGCAAAGGTATCACATGGATCCAGGAGTATATCAAGATAAATCGTTTCTTTTTTCATGGGAAATGCTTGAGATCCTGGAGCAGAGAGAGGTTTCTCATTTACATTTATGAGATAGACATAGCTCTGGCCTCACAGGGAGTGTCCCAAAGGTTCCACGTGGAACAGGGAGAGGCAGGTCTTGGATCAGAATCTTTGGATTTCCTCTTTGCACAGACTCTTTCTCCTCTGCTCCCTTTATTGTCTGAAAAGGCAGTGACTTAGTGTGGGTGAATTTGTGTTTGTGAGTGTGTGTATGTGTGTGTGTGTGAGAGAGAGAGAGAGAGAGAGAGAGAGAGAGAGAGACAGAGAGAGAGACTGCTTTCTGCGAGAGAAAGAAAGCTGTTAAGGTTGGGAGAGAAATTTGTGGTGAGGTTTCTTTGCACAAACTTATCATCATAGTCTTATGACTTTCCATGCAAGTCCTTAGGACTCCTAATGCACAAAGTCTGCATGTGGAGACAGGGAGAGGAATTGTGTTCTTTTGCATTGGTTTTTATTGTGCAAAACACTTTCCTGCCAAAGTTCTGCTGGTAGGATTTACCGAAAAGGGAAGCATGCAGATCTGTTGGGAGGGGTGGTGGGCCTGGCTTCTGGGGTGATCAGGAGGGAGTTATCTTTTGGAAGTGGAGGTTTGCAGATACTTATCCAGCAGGGTAGCCAGAGGCAAAGAGCTGCCTTGGAAGTGCTGACTGGTGGAGAAAGAAATGAAAATGAGATGTCTGCTCTTATGTACTCCTGGGTACTGAGCCCAGAGACTGGGAAGTACTCTGGTCTCTGAGTAAAGATCACAGAGAGGAAGGGCTGAGTTGGGGCCTCTTCCACTGCTCTCTCCTCATCCCTCTTTGCCAGCTAGTGTTCTTTCCATTTGCCAATGCAAACATTTAATAATGAGACTATTATCCCCCAGGGCATGCAAGTAATAGATAATCCCCATAAGATTGTTAAAGATGTATTGTTGATTAATATTTTGTTGATAAAAGGCTGACGCTAAATATCAGACAAATGTCTTGCTGATAAGAGATACACATAAAATAATGGTCAAATTCACCAAAGCATTTCTGTATATAGCCAGTTGGATTTGATAAAATATCTGTTCAGTGATTATTTCATTTAAGATTATGAAAATTGAAAAAGTTCAGATGGTAAATGTCACACTACAAGGAGTAATTAACATTTTGATGTACCTACATAAACCTCCCAGCTTATTCTATGCAATTACTTTAAGATATTTAAAGCATGATTTTAAATTATATGATTTCAATAATCTTCTATTTGAATATAATATTGACATATACAGTTATGAACAAATCTTCAGGGCAAATATATTATTATTTTAGTCAACATTTTGTGTGGAGTTTTATATAACTTCAGAGTGTCCAAAGCATTAAGCAAATCTTCATCACATTGAAAATGAAAATATTGGCTTACAGTACAGTGGAGTTGGTATGGTGTAAGGATTTAGGGCAAGGCAATGTGTGCCAATGGCACACTGTTTTAATTAGAGCATACTTTAATATCAAGTAGGGGAAATTATCTCATAGGGTAGAGAAAGTCTTACCCCAAGGAGAGATATGTCCTTCTACTATGACCCAAAGCAGTGGGGAAGTGGGATGGGAGGATGGATGGCTGAAAGGAGGTAAGAAGTTTATCCAGATCCCCAGGACATAGTGGGGGGATTCATTTGTCCTGAGGAAGAGACCCCATTTTCCTGGAGAAGGGTAACTCATCCCTGGCACATATTTGTTACATACTCACTATAGACTATTTGTGTCCCTCCAAAATTCATGTATTGAAACCTAATCCCCAAGGTGATGGTATTAGGAGGTGGGTGTGTTTGGGAGGTGATTGGGTCATGAGGACAGAGTTCTCATGAATGGAATGAAGGCCCTTGTAAAAGAACCCTCAGAGAACTTCCTTGCCCCTTCCGCACAGGGAGAAGATGGCTGTCTATAAACTAGAAAATGAGCCCTCACCAGACACCGAATCTGACGGTGCCTTGATCTTAGACACCTTAGCCTCCAGACCTGTGGGAAATAAATTTCAGTTGTTTACAAGCTACCTAGTTTATGGTATTTTGTTGTAGCAGTCTGAACAAACTAAGTACTGAACAATGTTTAATGAACAAATGAGAAGTTGGTTATTTGCACTCTTGATGCGGACATTTATAAAGGCTCTGGAGTCACAGCGGGGTCCCCATCTGATCCAGCTATTTGAAGCGTCTCATTGTAGCGACTCATTGTTCTTCTTATCCAGGGCAGGAAGCTTGAGATCCTGGTGAAGACTCCTGGAGGGGTCCCTGAATCTTTTCCATAAGAGACGATGCCCTGGGCCACATTGTTACATACCAGGGGGCCTCCTGAGTCGCCCTGTGGATAGAGAGGGGCAGGGACACTAAGACAGGCCTCCCTGTCGGGGCTCTCAGAGGAGGGAGGGTGGATGGGCTTCTTTGGTTACTGGGTGTGAGTAGGGTGGGAGGTTGGTGGGTGCAGGAGTCAAGCCTCAGGATCTTTTGGTCCTTGGGCTTTAGCCCTGGCCATGGTTACTGTCTTCAGCCCAACCCAAGTCAAACTTCATTCCCTTTTCCCAGGAAAACGCTGCATATGTATGTGTTGTGGGTCTTCCTCCTATTCTCCAAGAGACTGGATTGATGGGAAAACCATCCCCAGCCCACCTTGGTCTGGCCCCCAGGCTGAGGCTGTGGGGATGGAGTCTGTTCCCACTGCCCCAGCTCTGCCCAGGCCTCTCTGTCCCAGGCAGTGTTGGAAGATCCCATAGTCTTACTCTGAAGGCAGTCTTCCTCTCTCTTGGGTCCCCCACACAAATCTGCGATTGGCCGGTGTAGAACTGGAAGAGCTGGCGGCACTGCTGATCCTGCTGCACTCTCAGCTGCACCTCTTGGAGTCTGTTTGTTCTCCTGTTGATGCTGACCAGGCCCCAGCCAGCCACTGTGCACAGTGCCCCAGGCCTCAGTCTCTGCTGGGTCTGAGGTAGAGCTACAGGGCTCACGACTTGATCCCGTCTGATTCTGTTCCTCAGCTGGCAGTAAAGGTGTAGGCATTCCCGCTCAGCTGGGACTGTGGTGCAGTGCTCACCCCTCCACCCCCACCACCCTCAGGCCCTGCCCTTGCCTCCTCCTCCACCGCCCCAGACACAGTGAGGCTGCCCGGCTGGGAAGGCGCCAGCTAGGCTGGAGAACCAGAGGGCCCCACACGCCGCACCTTCAGTAACATGATGTCATTATGGATTGTCTGGTGACTGTATCGAGGGTGGGGTATGGCTCTGAGCACAGGGATGCGTTGCTGGGTCCTCTCCTGCCTCTGGACGTTGTGGGCCCCCAGGATGGCGACTATTGTGCTGCAAGGCAAGGAGGCCTGGAGTGAGGTCTGGCCCACAGGAGTGCGGGTTCCCAGCGCTGCAGGGCAGGGCCAGCCCAGGTGGGGCGAGAGGGAGCTGATGAGACTGGGGGTACAGGAGGGCCCTGGGGTTGGGCTCTGCACTATTTCTTGGCAGCCCTGAGCTGGAAATTATGGGGGACAGTGACCTTAAGGTTTGCCCCCCAGATTAAATTGAGAAATAGCCTGAATTCATATTTGGAGCCCCAACGGATGCCTTCCATCTTGCCCTTCCTCTTGCCCCTTTTCTCCTCATTTGCACTGGCCTCTTCCTTCCCACAAAGACCTGCTCCGTCTCCCTTTCACCCTTTCGTTTCCACAGCCCGGCTCTCAGATGGCTCCGCCCATGGGCTCCTCCGGCTTGTGTTCCTGGCTGCCCAGGAACCTGCTGAGCTCCTCACCTTCCCCAGCAGTGAGCTGCCGTCAGCACAAAGTCTTCTCGCACCAGGAACCCCCCACAAACGCTTGTTCTTCTGGCAGACTGGATCTGAAGGTACGCCATGTAGGGGCGGGAGTGGGGCCTGGCCTCCCGGCCCCCAATGATCTCCCCTGGAAGGGAGCATTGGGCACTTACCCCTGTGCTCGCTGAGCACACAGTGTGGGCGTCAGGTGGGGGGCTGCTGAAGGGCTGGAAGATGGGGGGGGCGTGAGGGAGGAGTGGTGCTTAGCACTGGGGTCTGGGAGAGGGCGCCAGGTTTCTACAGGAAACACTGCTGGCCTGAGGGGAGGACTGTTCCCCATCCTAGGCCTCAGCTCCCTCTCGCCTCAAAAGGGGGAGAACAACCCTTGCTCCAGGCAAGGCCAGCTTCAGCCTGAGGAGAGATGCTCTGCTGTGAGCACAGGGCTCCCCTGGGGTCCCTGCTACTTTCTTCCTCAGGGAGCCTCCCAGATCCTTCTGAGTCCAGCTGAAGACTCCATGGGACTGGAGTGTGAGAATCTAGACATGAGCTGATGGGACTGTCATTGCTGTATTCTTACCTCCTGGGCTCTGACCCGTGGGCTGCAGAAAGGATTTATATAGAGAACTTTTATGTAGTACTTACTATTTGCCGGGGCAATTCCAAGACTTTTATGCACGTTAACTAATTTAATTCTCACAGTAACTCTACAAGGTCAGTGCTAACATCATTCCCATTTTATAGATGAGAAAACTGAGGAAATATAAATTCAAATAACTTGCTCAACAATACAAAATTGGGATGTGCCATGGCAGTCTGGCTCCAGAGTCTATGTGATGGGATCAGACTTCTGAGGGTGGGGACAGTCACTTACCTGCCTCAGCCTCAGGGGACAGGAGAAAAGCCAACAGAAGCAGAAGTGGCTGCATCTTCCCTGAAAGGCTGCCTGGTCAGTTGCTGCTGTGATTCTTGCTGTCAGACTTTTAGCCCCTGAGAGAGGAAGGAAGGGGTGGGGAGAGGGGGCTTGATAATTCACACCCCCATTCTCCCGCTAGTGTGATACGTTTCATCACCCAGGGATGCCCAGGAGGTTCACCCACCAACTGCCAGTGATCTGGGTGAAGACAGGGTAATCCAAGCCAACATCATGATCTCTTGTGCAGCTGCTGAGTCAGTGCTGACTGCAGAAATAGGAACCCAGGGCTACAAGGAGGGGGCTTTGGGCAATGTGTCCCAGAACCCATACTCCACCAAATTCCACAGTCCCCCAACAAGGCACAAAAGCTGGCAGCTGCCCACTTCCTCCTTTTCCTACCCCTCTGGGGTAGAGCATCCATCCTCTGGAATTCTGTAAAGGAATGCAAGTTCCCAGGATTGTTTATCCATACATCCTTAGCAAGGCTTGGATGAGGTGAATGGAAGATGGTGGGATGTGGCAGGGGATGTGGGCAAGAACACGAGGATAAAGTCACAGGGGGCAGAAGAGGAAAGGTGAAGCCTGCCTTCTTTCACCCTGTGGGCCAACGCCACCCTGCCGAGAACCCTGGTGCGCTCACGTCTTTCTAGGAGTTGTTGTGGCGGATTGAGTGGCCCCTTTCCTAAGTGGGTGGACGTGCTGCCGGAGAAAGAAAAGGGAAAAACAAGCCTCTACCACTGACAATTACTGTCTCAGGTCACTTGGCCCATACAAACCCTAAGTGAGAATTACAACGCAGTTGAAGACTCCTACATGCCCACTTCCCGCCCAAGGTGAAGGTCTTTGTGTTCCAGAAGGTTCCCTACAAGCAGAAAAGGCCAAGTGACTTGATTTTGTTGAGAGCAGTTGGATCTTAGCTGGAAAACATCTAAGATTCCATTTCATCAGTGACATGAGGGACAAATCAACCTAATCCACATTTTGTGCCCAGGGACAATGACTTCTAAAAAGGAGATACATTTATTGCTATGCTACATATAAGACCCAGAGAACTAGAGCCACATACTCAACGTTGGGAGAAAAGCACAGCAAAAAACTGCAGAGTATTACAGTGGGCCATCAAACACACTTAAAAATATTTAGAAGATTCTGTGTATGCATAGAAAACCATTATAGTCCAGTATAATTTTTGTAAAAATAGCAGTATTGAAAACTATTACAATTCCCAAACTTTCATGGAGTGTGATAGGCCCACTTGAAAATCTTATGAAGTCAAACATCCTTTCCTTATACATAAATATATAGTTTTTCACTTATTTTTAGAACTAGTACAGAGCTTAATCCCTTTTCTAGACTGTTCTCCATGACATTTCTTTATGCATCTGAAAAGTAATGTGAAGAAAAAGGGAAAAAAGAGAAAATGTATAACAGCTTTATTAGTGCCTTAGTTTTTGTTATAATTTTAATTTATTAAGTGTTTTCAACATTTTATTTTGTTTTAAAAACATTGGTTTAACTTAAAAATAAAGGAAAAGGATAGAGAACAACCTGCACATGTGAAAAAAGAGGAGTATAAGATATGCACCCAACAATGTGAATAGATTTGTGAATAAGGAATTTCATTAATAGTGACCTAGGATTTCATGCCAACCCTCCCACTAAAAGCAACCAAAACAAAAGCTGTTTAAAATGTCTAAAAACCTTACAAGCCTTGAAGAACTGCCAAAGCAGGAATATTATCAGGCCAAAATGGAAGGAATAGTGATAGTTCAGTTAGGAAGCTACTGTTGTTCTGAGGGAATGTGCTGAACACACAAAATCTGAACTTTGGTTTTGATAACCACATAAAGTGGAAATCTATAGAAAATATTCAAAGAATGTTAGAAGGTTTTTTTCTGGAGAGTGGATGTTATCCATCTGCTTTATGGGACTAGCATAATGTCCATGCCAAACCCAATAAAGACAATATGGAAAAGGAACATTAGAGACCAATATCGCTTTTTTTTTTTTTTTTTTGAGACCGAGTCTCACTGTGCTGCCCAGGCTAGAGTGCTGTGGCATCAGCCTAGCTCACAGCAACCTCAGACTCCTGGGCTCAAGCAACCCTTCTGCCTCAGCCTCTAGAGTAGCTGGGACCACAGGCATGCGCCACCATGCCCGGCTAAGTTTTCTCTATATATTTTTTAGTTGGCCAATTAATTACTTTATATTTTTTAGTAGAGACGGGATCTCACTCTTGCTCAGGCTGGTTTCGAACTCCTGACCTTGAGTGATCCTCCCACCTCGGCCTCCCAGAGTGCTAGGATTACAGGCGTGTGAGCCACTGCACCCGTCCCCAGTATCATTTTTGAATATCGATTCAAGCCGAATCAATCAATAAGCAAATAGATATAAGTAATTTGAGTTTATCCTAGGAACACATAGTTGGTTTTTCATTTGAAAAGCAATTGCTGTAACACATCACATTAACTGATTAAAGAAGAAACATCATGAGATTATTTAATTGAAGCAAAAAATAAGATATCCCATGCATTTGCTAAAATTCTCCTTCATTTAAGAAACTCTTAACAAACTGGAATAAAAAGGAATGTCTTTAATATGATAAAAATTATCTACAAAAATCTCACCACAATCATTATACGTAAGAGTGAAGTATTGAAAATTTTTTCTTTGAAAGCAAAACAATACAAGAATGACTGAATGTAAATTTTTGTCAGTTTTGTTCAACATTATACCAGAGGTTTTAACAAGTATAGTTAGGCAGGAAAGAGAAATGAAAGGTATAAGGACAGGAAAGAAGGAAACAAAATTGGAATAATTTGAAGAAATAGAGAATCCAAAGGAATCTATACATAAATTACCATAATTAATGAGTTTAACAAATTTGCTAGATAAAAATCAATTTTAAAAATTAATCATATTTCTCTATATGTTATAACACTGTTAAAAATGAAATGTTTAAAAAGTTAATCGTTAAATGGCATGGAAATGATTAAATAACTAAACAAATCTAAAAGAATGTGTGCAAGGACTCTTTGGTGAAAATTATAAAATTGAATGAAGAGACATTTAAGAATACCTGAACATAGAGAGATTCCATGTTCATGGATTGGAAGACTAAATATTGTAAAAATGATAGTTCTCCTCAAATTGATCTATGGATTCATTACACCTGAGAGGTATTTTATAGAACTTAACTGATTCTAAATATATTCGGAAAACAAATGGCCAACAATAGCCAGGACACTATTAAAGAATGAGCATAAGTAGGGAGTACTTGCTTGAGCAAAGAAAGCCATACTAATGATGACAGTGTGGTATTGACGACGATGACAGTTCTTAAAGTGGACAAAGATGTTTGTAACACATATTACAGACAAAAGACTTACATTCAAATTATATAAACAATTTCTATAAATCAGTATGAAAAAGATAATTAATTCAATGAAATAATGGGCAAAGGGTTTGAGTAGCCTTATCTCAAAACAGGAAATCCAAGTGGCCAATAAACATATGAAAAAATGTGTTGCTCCACTAGATATTGGAGAAACACCAATTTAAAGCACAATGAGATACCACTTACAGCCACCAGGTTGGCTCTTTCCCACTCCTAGGTATATACCCTAGAGAAACAAGTACAAATTGCTACCAGAGGTATGTCCAAGAAGGCCATAGCAACATTATTCATGATAGCCCCAAACTGGGAACACTTTGAAGGTCCCCTAACAACAGCACTAATCACCAAATGTGGTGCATTTGTATAATGGAATAGTGCATACATGAAAATGAAGGAACTCTTCTTGCCTTGTGCAGCTACACAAACAAATCTTACAAACATAATGTTGAAAGAACAGCAAAAGACTACACTCAGCATGATTTTATTTATATAAAGTTCAAAACTAGGCAAAATGAAACTATATTGGATAGAAATGTATACTTACCTAGTAAATGTATAATGAAAAGCAAGGAAGTAGTTATCACAAAAGAGTCAGAACACTAGGTAACTCTAGCTTGACCTGGAAAAGACAAATGGGGTGTTTCTGTAGTGTTGACCGTGCTCTATTTCTTGGTATCAGATGCCTTATAGTTATTCTTTAAACTGTACGTTTAGGTTTTGTGCACTTTTCATGTATATATATTTTGCAATATGTTTTAAAAGAAATGCCAGAGGGTGAAGGT